GGGGGGGGGCAACATGCAGGTGAAAGGCTGGAATATTATAATGAGCTAGATAATATATAATAATATTAATATTATAATAATAATAATATTATAATGAGCTAAAGCTAATGACGTCAGAAACTACCCACTCCTGAAACCTCCTGATTTATCTCCTGGATTCAGACAAAAACATGACTGAGTCATTTTTTTTCACACTTTGCCTGCTGATAGGCCCTCCACAGTCCCAAATGTACACAATCAAACGATTAAAAACTTGGTTTTGCGTAATATGTCCCCTTTAAGGAGGCCTGTGTCTGGGTATCTAATTTTTCTGTGAGTTCTGGGCAGAAAGCCAAAATAAGCCAATCACAATCGGCCGTTTTTCGCTCCGCCGGGGAGCAAAATGACCTGGAATTCTGAGCTTATTTCACACTGTGAAAAAGTGAGGGAAGCAAAGGTGACAGCGAACAGGAGCTTCTTTGAGACGCTTTAGTTGTAATATAAAGCAGATCTGAGGGTGAAGACCCCTAAGAACGAAACAGCCGATGGTCCACCCAACATTATTCCCATCAATTCACAATTCAATTCACTTCCAGCTCCCCGAACAGATTGACAGCTTTTCTCTTTTGTTTTCCACCTTTTTGATTTCTCGGATCACAGATATTTCTCTTATTTCATTTCCAGAGAAGCTCCTCGGACATTCGTGTCTTCTTAGTGAATTCGCTCGATATTCTTTTAGATATTTAACCCTTTCATGCATGAATTATGATCATTTCAGTCAGGATTTTTTGTCAAATTTTTTAAAAACATTATAAAAAAGTATTATTTTGGGGGGGGAACTGTGTTCATTCATGGATTTCTCCAGATGTCCACAAACAGTACATGTTTTAAAATGTCTTACTAATAAAATACTGTATGTTACAGTGTTGAAATATTTTTACACATAACTTGGCATGTAAGTCTCCTCCTGTATTCAGTACTATCTCATCGCTTTTCTCACTCCAGCTCATTCAACCACTTGATTAGTTTGAGTCTTTCTCAGTTCTAACAGTAGACTGTTGTGGACATTTTAAAAAATGTTTAATGCATCATGCTCCAGGATTCATTTCAAATATAAAAACCCATATACACACAAGAAAATGTCTTTTAAATAGCTGTCCACTCTAGTGACCTCTTTGCATGAAAGGGTTCATTTATGGGCTCTGGCTCTTTGGAAATGTCGGCCTCACGCATAGGTCCAGGGTTTTTCAGGCTCTGTGATCAGATGAAAAAAAGAAATTCTGCATAATTTTTTGCATTATTGTTGCATTATTGTTGGCCCACTGCCAGAAGGTCACTGGTTCGAGGAGTGAGGAGTCTGCATGTTCTCCCCGGGTATTTCTGGGTTCCCTTTGAGTAGATCTTGACTTTTTTTAATTTTATTGTTTTTTTAAATTAATTTTTTAAAATTAAAAAAAAAAAA